AGGTACTACAAGTATAGTTTACCCTTTTCTCTGTTTAAATCGGATGACGAGTCTATGAATTTTCAATTGGCATCCATGACAATTAAATAGCATATTTCAATTTGATTCAGTCAAATTTGATGACAAAATATTATGAATTTTTTATTTATAAAATAATACTAATATTTAATTATTTTATTGAGTGTAATGTTATTGTTTATTTGGATGTTAGTTTAACAGTAATCGTTAAATCATTTTTATTTAAGGGTATATTAAATATTATTTTGATTGTATTTTTATTTAATATTTATATAAAGATATAATGTTAAAATTAGTCTTTAAGGTAGAGTTTTGCCCTTTTTCTTTATGTATTTGTGACAATTTCTAGGGGTATTACATGTCGAAACGAATTTTTTCTCAAAAAAAAATTAATTTTAAAAAAATGAATTCTAAAAGATCTCATCTCTAATAATTTAGTGACCAGTTAATAATAAAAGTGATTCAAGGAGTCTCCACCTAATCTTTGATTAGGGTGTGATTGGGCACTAAAAAATATTTTTTATTTAAAAAAATATTAATTATAATTAAAACTACGAATTTGTGGTCTGCATCACCAAAAATTTGAGTTCGAAGGTTGGTTACGCGCGGGGAAAGATTAGCACCCCACATCGCTCTAAATCGGTACATAGTCGATTAATTAGTTGTCTTTGCAATGAAATTACGAGTTCGGGTTTAATTTAATTTAAGATCCTATACAAATAATGTTCTTTGAATTTTAGAACAAAACATAATAATATTTAATTATTTCCTATCGAGAATAATCAACCTCTCATGCCTTAAAACAACCGAATCTTACTCCAACTGAAATAAAGAAATATTACAATTCCATTATAAAGCTCATTATTAATTCAAAAATTAAGTGTATAAGTAACAATAAATCAAAATAACTCTAAGACCCCTTTTCTTTAAAAAATATATATATTCTTTGAATTTCAAGAGGGAAAACGATAATGTTTAATTATTTCCAATTGAAAATAAATGACATCTCATGCCTTAAAGAAGTCATTTATTACCCCAATCGAAATAAAGAGATATTAATATTTCATCCTAAAATTATATATTAATTTGAATGTTATTTATTTTGAAATCCCATTGAAAATACATGCAAAAATAAAATAAAATAAATTAAAAACATACATCAAGCAAGTACAATTAATTATTTATTTTACCAACCTTTAATGAGAATAAGGATGTTCGATTATTTAAATACATCGAGAATAGACTTTACATTCGGTCTAACAATCTTTTCTCGGTGGACTTAATTAAAAGAACATGATCTTTTTCTTAATTCCCAAATTTTAAAATGGAATCAATTTAATTCGTGTCACTTAATGGGATAAACTTTCATTTTAAAACTATCGAAAATAACTTTCTTATACGTTAAGACAGTCACTTTACGACAATCTTAAAATGAACAAATATTACCCTTAGTCAAATTATTTTGATTCAGGTCAAGAAATGCTTATGAGGGTATCATGCAAATTAATTTAAAATAGAGATAACAAAACTAATTAGTGACTAAAATAAAATAACATAAAAGCAACATGCAAAATTAAAATAAAACAAAATGCAAATATGACTAGAATGCAAACAAATAAATCATCATATCAAAACTTAAAATAAAATAAAGTGCAAAAGTGACCAAAATGGACATATTTAACATTAAGTGCTAAAATTGTAATGAATAAAAATAAATAAGATATGGGAACCAAATTAAAATAAAATAAAGTTACATGGTTAAATTAAATTAAATAAAAAAACATACTAGAGACTAAAATATAAAATATGTTGAAACTACAGGGACAATTTAATAATTATTCCTTTTTACAAGCCTAAAACATACTTTTAAAGAAAAAAAATAAATTACTAAATCAGTCCAAAAATATTAAAATAAAATTAAATAATCACCACAAATGACCAAAATAAAAAACAAGCCTAAACAAGGGGGACTAAATAGAAAATATTCCAAAAATACATAACATGCATGAAAATGGGTAAATAAATACTTTGGTCCCTACATGTGATCAACATGCAAAAACACGCTAAACTAAGGGGGACTAAACAAAAAATATCCCAAAAATACATAACATGCATGAAAACGGGTAAATAACAACCTTGGTCCTAGCAGGTGACCAACATGCAAAAACGCACTAAACTATTGGGGACTTATGTGTGATCTTACCTTAAACTTCCTCTATAAAACTCAATTTTCTCTTCTATTTTTCTTTTCATTTTCAACCGAAACCTAAAAAAATTTTAAAACTCTCTCAACTCTCCTCTTTCTCCCTAGGACGGTTCCCTTCCGACCATCTTACTCAGTCGCTCCAGCCACCGTTCCGAGCACCACACACGACAGCAGAACTCCTAAACCGACCCAAAAAATCCTATACTTCCATATCTACCCACCTAAGCCTAGATCTAAGGTCGAAATCATCTAAAACCCCGAAAAGACCCTTCAAAGTTTCGACTCCTCACCTCCTCCGACCATCGTGGAAGATGAATCGGCCGTACGGTTCAACTCCTCCTCATGTAACTACTCAACCTCTTCATCTTCTTTTATTTTTCGTAAATACTTAGCTTTTTTTATTATTATTCGAATCTGAAAATAAAGGGGGAAATACCTTAAAGCTTTTGCTTGTATTCCTTCTGAAAAAATGAAAAAAAATGATCTCTTTTGCTTACAACAATTCGAGTTTTATACCTAGATTTACAGAGATTAAAGTAAATAAAATATCTTCTGACGCCTACTGTTGATTGATGGTTGTTGATGATTGACATGTGTAGCAGGGAGGTATGGTTGCCTTGTACTGTTGGTAAGGAATTAAATGCCTCAGATTTCGTTAAAATCTGACCCGAATCTACTTGGTGGCTCCGACGACCGATGCGACTTGCTTCTCAAATGGACTCTTCGGCGGCGACGAGTTCTTCGTCGACGGCGGTGTGGCTGGAAAGTAAAAATAAGAAAACCTAATATGGATTAGATCTGGACCGTTTGATGGGTCCATATCTAACGGTTCAGAGCATTTGACGGCTGAGGGAAAAATATGAAATCCTAGGGTTTCTTAAGGTACAACCTTTTGGGCCATACTTGGGATGCTTGTATTTTGGGTTTTAATTTGGCCTGGGAGTATTTGTTGTAATTTAGGTATGCATAAATAAAAAATAATATAAATATATAAAAATAATAATAATAGAAATAACAATAATTAATAATAATAAAATTAACAAGATCCCCGGGTAAAAACGGGTGTCGACACCGCCCTCTTCTTTATTTTCTAATTTATTGTGGGATTTTATCTAACCACCTATTTATTCGATTAATTATGGGTGAATTAGAGCAAATCCTGAACAATTTGAATTTAGATGACGAAGAAGATGTCCCTTTACTTCTTACAGAACATGAGGGATAGACATGTATCTCCTTTGAAAATTGCTTTGCAGGTTGTTTTCTTACATCAAGCCAAATCAACTTTATGTAATGAGAATTATGATGACTAATGTTTGGCACCAATCAGGGGAATCTTGATAATCGAAGGGTTTTCTTAAGGTACAACCTTTTGGGCCATACTTGGGATGCGTGTATTTTGGGTTTTAATTTGGCCTGGGAGTATTTGTTGTAATTTAGGTATGCATAAATAAAAAATAATATAAATATAAAAATAATAATAATAGAAATAACAAAATTAATAATAATAAAATTAACAAGATCCCCGGGTAAAAAACGGGTGTCGACACCGCCCCTTCTTTATTCTAATTTATTGTGGGATTTTATCTAACCACCTATTTATTCGATTAATTATGTTGAATTAGCAAATCCTGACAATTTGAATTTAGATGACGAAGAAGATGTCCCTTTACTCTTACAGAACATGAGGGATAGACATGTATCTCCTTTGAAAATTGCTTTGCAGGTTGTTTTCTTACATCAAGCCAAATCAACTTTATGTAATGAGAATTATGATGACTAATGTTTGGCACCAATCAGGGGAATCTTGATAATCGAATTAGTCGAAAGATGGTATTTATTCAGATTATATCATTAAAATTTAAAAGGGAAATTCCTCACATGGAAGTGATGAGTTTTAACGAGCTTATTAATTTTTTTTTTTGTATAAATAGGGGTGAGTCATGATGTTTATGAAAAATGAGAAAAAAAATTTGAGAATCAAATCATAAACTAGTGCAAAGAACTTAGGTATGATTTAACGAATGGTGTTTGTGAGTTTTATGACTTCAACTCCGACAATTGAAATTTAAGCTCATTTTCAGATGATGAGTTGGTATACCAAGTAGCATTGTCGATGGTAGAGGAACAAAAGTAGAGAAAGGAAGTTGAATAAAAGTTGAAAAAAGACGATGAAAATCGAGAAGAAGAAGAAACATAAGTATGAAGACTTATCAATCCAACGTAACAAACGACGGGATGAAAAAAAAAAAAATAGTAGTAAACAAATTATATAGAGGGTCTAAATATATGTATGAATTTCTCTTTACTAATTAAGTAATTATTGTATTAAGTAAAGCTATTTATGGATAGTTTTTAATTATGCACACAAAAAGAATGAATTAAAGTAGAAGTTGAAAATATGTTGAAAATGCATAAACACGCATAAAAAAGGTACAATTCGAAAAATATGAACTGAAATATAAAAATTCGAATTACATAAATGCAATTAAAAAAAGTACAACTAAAAATATGAACTAAACACAATTATAAAGGTTTTATTGTCCTGGTAAATATTTTGGAAGATTCAGACAATGTTTTCTCTTGTCTCCTTCGCCACTACAGTCGTCACACAACTTTGGTAAATTTTGATGTCTTTGAGGATCATCCATATCATTATGAATTCAGTTAGATTCAGTTCGATCCCTCAACTTTCTACGCTATTATGGATAAATAGGTATTATAGGCTAATAAGCATCTCTTGGGTGATACTTAAACTCACAACTGTATATTCTTTTTCTTCACAACAATTCCAAATCTACCGGACAGGTCAAGCTCAGTTCCATGCGGCAATTTCCACTCAAAAGAATGAACCAATGAGGCCAATATGAAAGACATCTTTTCCCCAAGGGAAAGGTCGGGACACCTTCTCCTTCCGGACCCAAATGGCAAATACCGGAAATCATTTCCATGAAAATCAAAACTTTCATTCAAGAACCTCTCGGGTCGAAATTCGGAAGGATTGTCCCAAATATTGGGTCCTTGTGAACGGACCACATATTTAGGAACACTCTGCTTCCCTTTGGTGTGGTATAGCCACCGAGATGGAGTGATTTACCACAAGAACGGGGAACAAAAAGGGGTAGTGGTGAATGCAGACTATGTTGCACTGATACGGATATGGGGACGGGGACGGGGACGGGGACGGAAAACGGTAATTTTAAAATTACAGGGTACGGAGACGGCAAGGGTACGCATATAAAATATTTTTAAAATTATAAATATATATACAAAAATTATAAATAAAGTCAAATATCAAGAGTCAAACAACAATATAAAGTTTAGAACAATAAAATCCATAAACAAGCCACAATATTAAAATGTCAAATTTCAAAATTCAAACTATAATATTAATTCTGGAATAATGAAATCCATAATAAAATCATAATATTAAAGTGTTAAATCTTAAAACTCAAACCATAATATTAAACCCAAATCAAACATAATGGGACAGTTATATAAAAACATAATGGTTAATCTCAAATGTAGATCCATAGGAATTTACAACAAATAGATCTACTGAAACACACAGCAACTGCCAAAGCCTTTCTGTCCACTCCCAAGAATAGATCGATTACTAAAGCAAAGGAACGCCAGGCTAATGCAAATCCAGGAAAAAAACAAAACAATAATAACAAACTTGAACCAACACAATTCACAACAATAAGAACGCCCAACAATTAAAGCACATCAATCTCTCCAAGCATAACTCAGACAAAAAGAACTAATTCAAAGTAATAATCTCGTTAACAGACCTATAGAAATCCAGGGTAAAGAAGCAATAATTTAGCCAAAAACACACCAAAATGAGATCCTTTCCATAGCCGACTCAAAACTCTGGTCAACTCCAAAGATTTTCTTATTAAAAATGGAATCGTTCCTCCACAATCAAATCGACCACATAAACCCAAAGAGCGCAATGTTCAACAAACTCAGGCTAAAATTAGAGAAGGGATAACCAACCAGGACACAGAAAGATTTAGCATCTCCAAGGCATATGAAATTAATATTCCATTTTGAGAACCATTTTTGCCAAATACAACGAAATGATGTTCAATGCAATGAAGAAACTCACATGTTGCTGCCGATTGCTACCGAAAAGCTCAAGAAGCAGAAGCAATTGCTGCCGAAAGCTCCAATAGAGAAGTTGGATTGTTGTCGAAAGCTGCAGCCTCCAATTAGGTTATGTTGTTCCCGTTGTTTTCTTAATGCAAAATGACGAAAATATCCTGGGGACGCATGTGAAAGTCACATGCCGTCCCCGAAACATCCCCAGAACTCGGAGAAACATCCCCGACGCCGTTCAGTCGTACCCTGCCACCGTGGAACATTCCCGGTACGTACCTCACCCGTCCCCGTGTCGTCCCCGTACCGGGGACGTATCAGGTACTTGAAACGGCACAAGTTTGCCAACCCGTGCTTCCTAGAATGCAGACGGAAAGCCTCCTTATCACTGCATTTAGGTAACTTAAATTAGGCAAGTGAAACTCTTCAACGATGTTGTTTAGGCCAACAACATCATCTAATTCTTTCTTAACTTTCTCCATTATTTCTGGATTTTGCTTTAGCTCTGCCATTACCCACTCTGTCGTAGTTGAAGTAGTATCCGTTCCACCCACCACAGTGTCCTAATTTAACAAAATATTAGTTGCAAAATAGGTAAGTCATAAACGAATTCGTTTCTAAATTTTTTAAAAACAATATGTTGTAAAATAAGGCGTTAACAATGACTTGAATAATAATAAAATAAATAAATAAGGAATCGATCAATTATGTTATGTTGTGGTATTAACCACTATCTCAAAAATGAATTTGTCTCGATGTGTGTAATTATTATAATTGACGAATGTCCCCCAAAAATTAGCATGGTTCTCCGAATCTCATACATTCAAAAAATAGAGTGGACTTAAGTGATACTACTCTTCCCTAAGAAAGACAACTTCGAAAAAGCTAGAGAGCTTTTGAGAATGAAAAACATTTGAGAGAGAATTCAAACATTTTATAATAATTAAAAGCTAAAATAAGCTCTCCACTTATAGGCTTAAAGTAGGGATAAAATGATAAAACATTAAATAACAATTACAACATAATTAATTGTTATTAACACTATTTTAATTATCTTCAACATTATTTTGTAACAATAGATAGTTCAATATAAACTTTTATTAATAATACTTTGGGTAAATTACGTGTTTAGTATTTAAACTATTAGTTTTGGTCCAATTTAGCACTTAAACTTTCAATTTTTTCAAAATCATACCTCACGTTTAAGTTTTTTTTTCATTTCAATACTTTGCTGCTAAAAACTTAACAACATTGCATTTTTTATGGGAAAATTACATCATTCATCACTCAACTATCTCCTCGCTCCTAATTTGATACTAATATTGTTTTAATTTAACCACTCAACTTTCAAATTTCTCTTATTTTAATCACTCTAATTTATTTTATTAATAATTTTTATGACATGTCATTTTTATTATTATTTTATTAATATATAATTAAATATAAAAAATAAATTTGAAAGTTAGAGTGATTACATTAAAAGTAATTTAAAGTTAAGTAATTAAATTAAAAAATTAAACTTTAGTGACTAAAATAGGAGTGATGCAATTTACCCATAAAAAGGCGCCACATGCAAATTCCCGTTAAGTTTTAACGGTAAGGTACTAAAACAAAATAAAAACTAAACATTATATATGATTTTGAAAAAATTAAAAATTTAAGTATTAAAATAAATTAAAACTGATAGTTTAAGAAGTTTGTCTCTAAAACGGACTAAAATTGATCGTTTAAATACTAAAAGTATAAATTACCTTAATACTTTATAGGGATGATGTTATCTATAAAAAAATAAACAAGAACCGAACCATTGAAATTCTTTGTATTACCAACAACTCAAGAAAGAAAGTGTGAAAATCTTACATGAGAATACCCTTGATTTGATTCATTCTGAGTGATGCTGCGCCATCTTCGTTCTCGTTGTGTAAATCCAACATAAACTGTAAAAAGTCTGTTTTTTGTTCACTCATTCCGTCAACCTCTTCCTTCTCACCGGCAGCCTTCATTCTTAGTTCAATCACACAATCCAAGAGTTCATTGAACGATCGACGGATTTTCTTCATATCCCTTTCAATTCCTTGCAAGTCGAACCATGCAATCGAGGGGAAAATATCGGAAAAATTCGGTTTTCCCAGTAACACCATTATTTCCGACGAAAGATCTTTGAAGTGACCCTGAATTGTAGCCCCTTCCTGTCCTCGGAGTTTGCTTCCCCACATCATGCTGATGGTCGCATTGATCGCAGTTAGAAACGCCAATTCACCGATATCAAACGCCTTGTCTGCGTTTTCATACACATCCCTAATGGTTTTCATCATCTGTTCTCGGCGTAGGCCATAACAGGCATTAAGATTGGCGTTGCTGAGCATATCGGTTGCAAGGATTTTGCGCTTGTTTTTCCAACTGGGATTGCTGTAAGAGTCGAACGCGATATTGTTGGTGCCGAAGGTGATAACCTGTGCAGCAATGGTAGGTTCTCGCTCGGAAAATGCTAAATCATGGTCACGGACCACTTGTTTTACAAGGGATGGAGAGCTAACCACTATGGTTAGTTTGTTTCCAAGCCGGAGCTTGAAGATAGGACCGTATGCTCCGGCCAAGTCTGTGAACAGCAGGTGGAGATTATCCAATCCTAGAAAGGGAAGATATCCCACAATCGGAAGTCCACGGGGACCAGGCGGCAATGGAGCCGTCGGTTTCCTTGACATTCGATTGGAATATAAATACCAGACTGAGATTCCCAATATGACAATCAGAAATGAGAAAGCTTCTGGGAACGTGCTGTAAGATACTTGCAACATCATGTTGCTTTTGTGTGGAAAACCAAGGAATTGATAGATGAAACAAAGGTAGTGACCGTGATTTATAATACATATAGTATTCTAGACTTGGGTCTAAGTTACACGACGGATGAGACAATCGCTCCATAAAATTTAAAATTATCATATATATTTTAGATTTTTTATATATATTTTTATTGAAAATATATTTTCGCCTCTTAGAATTTTATAAATTCATCTTTCCTAAAATTTTAAAAAATTGCTTACTAACATAAAATTCTGGGTTCGTACCTTGATATAGGTATGATTAGATTTTTTTTTATTGTTAGTCATATTTTCCATATCCAAATGTTGTACATAGATATTAGACACAATTACTTTATATAACCTTTAGAGCAATAATAAAGCTTCCATTATTGACATCTTTAACTTTATTGTTCAAATTCTTATTTTTTATTCTTAGATTCGTATTTTCATATTAAAATGTTGTACATGGATATTAGAGAGGTGTCATAATATTAATGGTGGGGTATATTTAGGGGCATGGGTTGGGGTAGGAGAATTCTATTCCATTAATGTACACCCTTTAGAGAAATAATTAAACTTCAATTATTGAAACTTTAGTGTTCAAATTTTAATAATAAAATTATTGCATAAAAATTAGAATTAAATATATGTTTTGTACATGAACTAGTCACCTACTCCCAATTTGATATTTAAAGAATTTTTGCTCTTGAGTTAATATTTTAATTTTAATTTTATTACTGTTTTTTTATTTTAATTTTTATTTAAAAGAACACATGTGATGATACCAATAAGAGGCAGAACACAGTTAGAACCAGTGGGGCCACAGCCTCCCAAAATTCGAAAAATTATAATGTAAACCCTTAAAATTTTTATAAATTAATTTATTCATCACAATTTTTTTTAAAATTCAGATTAAATTTTAAATATTTTGAATGTCCTTAATTAAATCCCTCCCATAATTTTTTAAAAATTCTCATTAAGTCTCAAATTTTTAAAAACTTTAGTTAGACCAGATTTTTCTTATAGTGGATAAGTTTTTCTTAGGTAAGATTTATTTGGTTTAACTGATGCTACTGAGGAGAAAGGGTTTGTGTGGATTGTGCATGTGCAAGAAACTTACAGAGGAAGAACATTTCAGTTGCGACAACGTAATTTGCAAGGGCCAATGGAAAAGAGAAGAATGTGAAGAGTAGATTTATCTTGCTAAGGCAAGGTTTATCTGTAAAATCTGAAGCGGATATGACAAAATCACCTATGACACATGCCAGCTGGATGACCTCCTTCACGTGCAAGTAAGCCCTAAATATTCTGCCAGCTACCAACTACCTTTCCTTTTTTAGTCTGGACAAAATAATAATGGTTATTTAAGGAATCTCCAATCATGTAAAACCCTAGGAGATTCCTCTCTATAAATATTCAACCGTAGCAGCCAAAGAGAAAGAGAGAAAGTTAGAAGAGCTTTACTGAAAGTGTGAGCGAGCAACTGCAGTGTTTTCCCACCATTTACCAACCGACATTACTTGGTGTCCTCTATAGCCAGACTGTAGTAGAGCGATGATCAGGTCTCTAGAGAGGCTGATCACCAAGGTAGGCGCGGTGCTGATCAGAATTGTCACGACAGAGCCCCTGGTTTTGGGGTTGTATTAAACGATGATACTTAGATGACTTTTTGATAGCACCATGACTATCTTACTTGGTGTTAATCTTTGTTTTGCCTAGACAATTATTTTCTTCTTTATGAATATGAATTATGATTTTGCTCATAATTGTTTTGTTCATTGTTTGAATATTTTACCTTGACACTGTAAGAGATTCGAGAGATTGCCTGAGGTCGTGGTAAAACATGTCTTGGAAATGTAAGAGCATCGAGAGATCGCCTTTTGTCTAGATAGTGATTCTTAGATTCGAGATAATTAAGATAGATCTACATGAACAATGGAATGGATCCGAGATGATGATGTTCTAACTTGTCTACCTTAAGGATAAGGAGCGGGTTTTAATCGACTAAAAGGGATAAATGCTAGAGTAGGATAAACAATGACTATAGTTTACGTTGAGAGGTATTGCTACAACAACAGTCTGACAAGCCAAGGGTTGTAGTTAACGCTGAGTAGTATTGCCATAGCAACCGTCTAAGAATACTTAGTAATCCTGTCGGACAACTTAAGTAAATCATAATAATTCATTCTAGACATAGAATAATTGTTTTCAATGCAAAAGATTAGCATAAGTGCTCTGTGGTAAGTCTGAATATGCGAGGTTGTTTTAATTATATTTAAATCAACACTTATTTTTGTTTTGTTTTGTTTTATATGCATATTTATTTTGCCTCGACCAAACTTTTTTGTAATCATACATTATAGTATTTCATTGTTTTATTAATATTAGATTTGTAGTTTGACAAGATAGTAGGAATTAGCTCGTGACAACTAGTTCTGGTTGTGGTGAAGGTTAAAATTTTAGACCAATCCCTAAGGTGACGATAACTCACTTTCCCTATATTATATGATTCAATTGTGTATACTTACACAGAATTGCTTGCCTTAGCATATACATTTACAAGCGATCAACTAACCCATTTTTGTTATGTGTCTATTATATTTTATTTTGGTTGTATCTTCTTGCATTTGTATCTTCATATTATCCAAATGTGTTAATTTGCAAGTGATTGACTAAATAAGAAGATTGTTCATAACGAGGTAAGAAATTCTTAGCCATGTAGTCAAAACCATGAGATCCAAGTATGATATAACAATCCATGATGAAAGACATTTGATGAATGAAGAAATTTGAAGTTGGTTGAAGACTTCCTTTCAAGGAACCAAAGATAACATGTTTTCTTAAGAGATAGAAGGAGTCAGATCAAGGACGAGAAAACCATTCACAAAGAAATGAAGACCGCTTCGCATTGGAAGTAAAAATGAAGATCTCACAATTCAACCATAAATAATCTAAGAACATCGAGCATCTTCAAATGCGATGAAGTGTAGCGACGTTTGGGTGCAATGTTAGATCCCATGAAGAATAAAACTCAATGAAACAAATAAATGAAGAATCACAATTTTACTTTGACTACTTGGTGTAATGAAATCTTGTTGTCTAATGAAGGTTGTTCTTCAGTGGTCACTTTTGGAATTAACACCTTTTGCATTTGCATTTTGCATCTACATTTGAATTCACACTGTATTAATTTATGCATTTTTACACGCATCAATCTTGGAGCATGGGGAAATTTGTGGAGGAATCTGTGAAAGGAATATTGAAGATACATTTAAGCCACCCCCGTTCGTACCTAGAGAAGAATTGAGAGTCATGAATATGAAGCTTGGGGCATGCCACTAAGAATTATGGGGCACTGAAGAGCAAGTTATAAAATCTAAGCGATTTAGGGGCATGGTCTTTTAATGAGCAGGTGAAGCATTAGTACACCACTGTTGGGACTGTCGACGCACCCCATGGCACAGCGGAAACAAAACTCGATGGTCTCACCAGCGATCCAAGTACGTAAAACCGAAATTAGGATGAAAGGATGTGAATACTTACAATGGGTTCCTTGAAAAACAGCAAAGACGACTACGAGAAATGGTGATCACGAACGGTTTGAATCGTAAGCCTCCACGAAAACACGTCTCGGCCTCTACTTAGTTCACTCGATTGAGAACAAAATTTTTCTTTTCCCAAAATTGGTTTTGAGAAAAACTGCTGAAGTAAAACGGCTGTTAGACCTTACCTCCTTTAAATATATCAATTACCCTAACATCTTAGGATTTTTTAATGTTATTTCAAATTAATAAATAAAATATTATTTAATTAATTCAAATTAAATATACATTAAAGACTTATAATCTGAATTATAATCTTTAATGTTTATTTAAAAACTTATTTTTATTATTCCGAATTATATATCAATTAAAAGAGTTGTAATCTAAATCACATTCTTTTAATGCTTACTTACTATATTCGGGATAATTAAAATCATATGTATATCAAATATACATATATTAACTTTAGATATATTTTAGTAACATACAACAAATTGTACATCTTTTCTTCAATCCTAGGGTGTGACCCTGTAGGTTTTTGTAACGTTAGTAGTAATTATTAGAACAATTCTAATATTACATACAATGAGTGACATCTAGCATTATATCATTGTCACCTAAGTTACAAGAAATTATGATTCAACATATCATCTTCGTGATTAACTCTTTTATGTATTACATCTTTTTGTCCTTTATATCTAGAATAGGCACAAGTCTTAGAATAGTCACACTTGTATAGCCCATCTATTGTGTCCTGATATCTAGAGTAGACTATAATTAACGAATAATTTGTGATATCACATATCAACTTATTCGAGCATGGCCATGCATTTATAGTCTCACTCAATCAAGTGGCCTGTGATATATTTCCTATTATGTAGAAAGGACAAATCTTATCTTAACCATATACACCCCACTACATATATCGAGCTATATTCAATAACAGTCTTTATAGTGCAACCAGTTACGAAGCATGTTTAACTGTATCAAAACATACAACAATATATGTTGGGATGACATTGATCTCAAGTCTGAGGATCATACATATAGTCATCACCATGAGCAATGTTATGATCGTTACATAATAATCCAAGACATATGCTCATGATGTGTCAATCCAATACATTGTTCTCTAACAATATAATCATGTATCAATTCTGACATCTCTATGTCAATGACAACTCCTTGTCATCAATCAATAACATGTTAGTCTTAAGCGTATTATTATTGTCCATGCCCATAATAACTTGACTATGGATCTTTTAATAATGTTATTATATGGACTTTATTATCTTTCAGTTTATGTTAAACACAGACATATAACTGAAAATAATATTTGACAATGCCTTTATTCAATAAAATAAATAAATAAATGTATTATTACAATCATCATAGGATTGGTCTTTGGGCATACTCTAACACTAAGAACCCTAAAGATCCAGTCGAGCACCCGAA